CAAGCACTGGGTATTAGCATTTGGCAGCATTTATTATTGCTGTTTATGGTGATATAAATTAGGTTTACACTGATATAATTAATAACCCTAAATTTAGGTATAATAAATAGCAATATTTATTCAGAACTGCAGTGTCTGGAGAAGCCCAACAAGAACACAAAATACTGACTACTTTGTGAGTGTGAGTGTGTGAAGGTTGTGAGTGAGCGAGAAAGTGCATGTGTGTAAGGGAAGCAGGTGTGTGCAAATGTACATGAGAGCTAGGAGAGGCACTGATAAGGAACGTCTAATACTTTACTTAACAGATATAGCAAAATTAATCAGATCTGTCATTTGATTGGCTACATGCCTGGCTGCTGTTCTCTGGGAAAGGGTATAGGACCAGTGCATTCAGTCAAACACAACAACAGTCGCACAGTGATGCTCACAATTCCTTTTTGGGTTTGAACAAAGCCAAGTTCAGCTGTGATGACTGTTGATGAGCTTGGTTTTTATATGAAAAGCACCCCCACACACACACACACACATTTCATTTACAGTCCGTTCCAGAGCTGTGATTCCTTCCATTGCTGAAAGATGGGGACAGATTGTAAAAGCACTGAAAGAAATGAAGAGCTGGGGAGATCGGGGAGGGAGGAGAGATGCTTACCATCTCGGCCGTGTGCTGCTGGAGTGTAATCACATTACTGCACTCATGTCTGCGTTAGAGGAATATTTGCCGCGTGTAACTTTCAGATCACATTAACCAAAGCAAACAGCGAGGCCCTGCTTGTCTTGTTACTGCATGAGGCTTCTGGAGCATGATTGTGCAGTGCCCTGCTGGGATGAGAGCGCTCTTCCGTTGGGCTGGGTACGGCGGGAAGCCACAAGGGTGACAGGGCTGCTAGCAGGAGCCCTTTGTAAATGCCCCGCACTGGCATCCATCTCCAGGACTGATGATGAAGTATTATGCAAGCTCGGGGACCAAGGGAAGATGGGGGGAGGAGGAGCTTCAAAGCACTGCCAACAAAGAAAAATTAATCCTCTCTTAAATAAGGAAAGATGCTGAGATAGGGGGACTAGAGCAGCATTAATCCACAGCACAAAGTGTGGGGGGGGGAAGAGGGAGAGATTGATTGAAGTCTGTGCTTCCGAAGGGGAGAGATTTGCAACTCTGCTCATTAAAAAGCCACAGCCAGGCAGGGATGCTCAAGGTAATCATCTCAATCAAACTGCCCTGGCTGGCTCATCTAAGAGCCTTCCAAAGAGGAAAGGAGGGCATTAATTCCTCCTGACCCTTTGGGCATGGGGCTGGGAGGGGAGGCAATGAGATGGTGAGGGCGTGGAATCCTGGCCCAGGAGAGGCAAGGAGTAGAGTATCAGGCTGCCACACATGTATACATGACGCCATGACTCAGAACTCTGTGACCATGGAGAATAATGGAGGCTCAGGCCTCGGATTGGAGAGCCCAGTACAGACTAGTGCTTAGATACCACAGACATTATTGTACTATCTGCAGAGCACCCACAACGGCAGGAAAGCAGAGGAATGAAGGGAACAGTGGGGAGCCATGGCAAAAGAAACGGACAAGTTGAGGGAGATGTGGGACCCAGCAGCAGTTAGACTGGGGCAGGGATCATCTTTGTGTTCTGTGTTTGTACAGTGCCTAGCACAATGAGGTCCAGATCCATAATCAGGGCTCCTAGGTACTACAAATAATAATACTAATTTAGTATTTAGGTGCATTCATGTGCTGCTAAATCCTGCCTAACAGGCATGTGATCCTCTGGAGAGGGCACTGGACTGGGAGTCAGGAGGCTTGGGTTCTAATCCCACCTTTGCCACTAACCTGTGTGACCCTGGGCAAGTCACTTTGCTGCTGTGCCTTTGTTTCTCCTTTTACACTTTTCCTGCCTTGTCTATTTAAAATGTGAGCAGTTTGGGGCAGATACCACTTTTGACTATATGCATGTGCAAGGCTTAACACCATCGGGCCCTGAACTCAGGCATGACTGTAATACAGATTAATAACAATCCCAGTACATGGCTCTCTTGACTGGTTTATGGCTCCCAAGTGGAGGCTGACACAGAAGTATCTCACTGGTGTGAAAACTAGAGATTTTGAGATCATTCACCTCTCCAGCTATTATTTCTGATGGAATTGTGAGAAAGGAGCGAGCCTGGAGGGGGGATATCTCACTGGAGCAGAGGGGGCAGAGAAGGGGGAAGCCATGTTAAGACACAGGTGAGATGTCTTCCTGCCCCCTGTGTAATACATTGGAAGCTTCACAAGCAGGTGGATGGATAGAGTTAGGCACTTATCTATCAACTTCCACCTGAATATCTCAAAGTATGTTACACACTTTAATTAATTAAGCCTCACAACATAATTATAAAGGGTGTCACCAGGAATTGGGGGATGAAATTAAGAGATGGGAAGAATATACACTGAGTATCAGAAACCCTTCCTGTGTGCCAGGTTGTGGAATAGTCAATGTAGTATTTGAAATTAGACCATGTAAAAACACTCGTAAATGTACAATGGGCACCAATCCTACATTTGCAGGGAGATGGACAAGATATATGTCTTTTCCATCTCTAACATCTATGATTACCCCCGTTTTACTGCTGGGAAAACAGAGGCACAAAAAGGCAAACTGAGGGCTTGCCTAGATGAATGGTTAGTGCGCAGCAAGCTGGGTGTAGATCTACAGCACACTAGCCTGCCATGCACTAACTGGACATGTGGACCCTACTACCGCACACTAGAAGTTCCCCGCTGTGCACATGCACTTATCTACCCCCATTCCAAAGCAGAGGAGATCAAAGCACAGTAGGGAACCTCTCGCACGTGGCAGGCTAGTGTGCCATAGATTTGCACCCCAACTTGCCATGCATTAACTTGTCATCTAGACAAGCCTTAACTTGCCCAGGGCCATGCAGTCAATGGAAGAGCCAGGAATTGAACCAGGATCTCCTGGTTCATCTCTCAAGCAAGAGGTGCTCCCATCGCCAAAGTCAGGTTTGAGCTCCTCTGCACCAGGTAAGGCAGAGTTCCTCCTGGGTGACATGAGCTCAGGAAGTAGCACTTCATTGAGTGCCATGCAGAGCTCTATCCTCCCTGTTGAGGTCCCACCCTTAAAGAGTCACCTCCTGAATGCTTGAAAAAGAAAGGTCAGACATTCCCTCCGTTCCTCCATCTGCTGGAGACTTTAAGTGCAGTGAAGTGTGGGGGGGTGGGACGACAAAAAAACCCATCCACCTTCAATTTGCCTTTGCCGCCTGGAAGGATTAGGGCATTTGGTGCCTGCAGAGACCTAGAACACTCAGGGGTTATGTCTTATTCCATCAAATGGAGCTGCCAAGCTGCTGTTGTGCCGGCTTCCTTAGAGGTGATATATCATGAATGACATGATGGTTCGTAGCATTGTGACAGGCTGGGGAATATCAAAGCAACCTCTAGCACCTGCCCACTGAAGCTTTTGCACCAACTCAAAATGAATTGATTTGGGAAGTTTGATAAAGTTATGTTCAGTTTCTTTCATTGTTTTTCATTTTTTGCGACTACCTCTGCACTCGTGGGTCCCATCCAGCCTGTATCAAAATCAGAAGGGTCCACATGCCACAAGGAAGGGTGTTCCCAGAAGATCCCAACACAGTTTTACACACTCAAGAAGTCTGAAGGAGCAGCCATACTTTTGAGACCAATTTCCCAGACTTTTGAGATTAGCCTATTATAAGAAACTGTGGCCACGCACATGCATGAACCATGGTCACCAGTGAGGATCAAAAACTTAACACCTTCAGCACCAAAAATGGAAGCCCCTACTCCTGACCAAAAGGAGTAACTCCTCTAGGTGTAATCAGCAGGTTGTTATAATCACTGAGGCCTGTCACCAGGGGGAAACATGATCACCCTAAAAGAAGACAGTGACTATATTATAGTGCCACTACCAAATACCCATCACAAGTGGGCAAACTCCATGTTCAGAAGCATTTGGGGTTTCCCCAAATATCACACAAGCCCATCTCCTCTAGCCAAGTTCTAAAATAGGGTCTCTCTCCAACTCACTGGCTACCTTGTATTTCAGGTTTCTACATCAGAAACAGGATAGTGATTTCTTCAATTCAGTCAAGAGAGTGAGGGAGTGAGTGACTGTGTGTGCATGTGTTGGGGTGGAAAAGGAGGGAGCATGCAAAGAAGACTCCAAGTGTATGTCTGCCCAGTAAAAGCCGTGTACAACTAGCTTACCTGAGCTCCCTTGAATCCAGCTAGCAGGGGTAATAGTAACGAAGACAATGCAGCACGGGCGCTGCAGCACAGGTAATACAAGCCCAGCAGAGACCCAGGGTACGTACTCAGCTCACTATCCACTCTGAAGTCCTCCCGGCACGGTCTTCACTTCTATTGTTACCCAGGGGGCTAGCTCAGGTAGGCGAGCCCACGCACAGCTTTTGCTGTGCAGACATCCCCCAAGAGAATTCAGAGCAGATCAGCATTCCCTAGGCCCAAGAGGACCGAAAATCCATCAAGAAATGTGAGTGGGGAGATGACAGGAGCATCACTGGCTGTAAGTATTTAAATGAAAACACAAAGGTAAAATAGATCCATAATCCTCTTCCCCCTTCTCAGGCAATGCAAAACATTAATTAAAGCAAGTTATTCCCAAGCATTGCTATCTTGCAGCTGATGTCTGCACTGAATGATTTAGTAGGGGCAGATGGATTTCTTTTTAGCCAGCTAGAGCCAAGTTAGGCCATGAGGTTGTGGTACAGCTCTGTCCTGGCAGCTGAGAGCTATTATTGCTACTCACAGTTGTGAAATCAGACACCAAACAAGTGGCTTTTGTGTGGCTGTATGTGACTAACACAGAATGCCAGGATCCACAGGAAGGATGTTCTCCTGACTAAGGGCTCCCAAGATAAGGCTTGCTGCCCAAACCGAGGTAAAGTTTCCCAAATAGGTCCAGGAAAGGTTTCTCAGACAGCCCCAGGGTAAACAAAGGTTGTCACAACTCACTTGCCATTAATGACTCCATCTGGATTGAGCATGGGGATGATTTTGAAAATGAAACATTTCCTCAGGAGCTCAGCAATGGGGTCACCGCTCACTAGGAACTCCACAGTCCCCTTCATTACCCAGCTGGCATTGCTCTCCCCAGGGTGAACACGGGCCATGAGCACCACATAGGGACGATTGCCTATAAAACAGAAAATAAAACTTTGTTTTGTATTTGATCTTTGTGGGTGGCATTTTGCCTTTTAATCCCTGGAGAGAATGATATGACAGTGAGCCAACAGAGAGGCAACGCTCCTTTGGTTTTGACATTTCCTAATTCTAAAGGCCATATTTTCAAACTGGCTTCCAAATTTGCACCCATGATTTTGCACATGGACCCCCACCATCCCGGACTTTGCCTGCATAGATAACTGTATGCACAGCTATAGGGTTTTCTGCCTGAACCTGCAGCTTCAGATTTCAAGGCCATTTATGAAAGTTTGACCCTGTAAATTAATGACAAATTGCGCTGATGCTTAAAGGTGACAGGACAGGATTCCATTTGCTAAGTCCCAACTTCACCTTGTGTGTTTCTCCTTGAGCAGCTGATAACATTCTAAGCCCCTAAGCATCTACCTGTCCTTAGGATTTTGCCTGAGATGCAAGATCTTGGGAAACTTCCTAAGCCCTCCAAACTGTCAGACCTTTTGGTATTAGCACTGCTGGGGGAATCAAACCCACTGGTGTTACAACTGTGCAGGTGACTTTGCACAAAATAAAGGAAGAATAGAGATACAGGTTTTATCTAGGCAGGCTGCAAAGAGGACAGTGTCTGAGGTCAACCATCACTACATACTCACTTAAAGTAAGAGAGACATTATTTCCCTGATTTAAGTAAACATAGGTGGTGCAACTAGTGACACGTATAGTTACTATTGCCTGACACTTTCAATTATAAGACATTGTTTTCAGTTGCTTACAACTTTGCCAAACTATTTGCTGGGGTTGAAATTTTCAGTGCCAGGTGTCTGCTTAAAGAGGAATTATTTTGGGAAATTTCAGCTAAAAATGTTGTTTTGCCCATGTTAAAAAAAATTTTACAACTATTGCATTGTGAAACTCTAACACCTTCATGCTTTAGTGAAGGGAGCTGAAACTTGACAGGAGTTGGAGGGAGTCATTGTGATATCAGGGATGTGTCTTGCTGTTCCTGTGAAAAAATGTCTAAACTTGGCCAAGTAATAAGCCTCTGAAAAATCTCAGTTTGCACATTCCATCTTCACTAAGCATGCTCCATGGAGAGAGGGAGGGACAAGGTCTGGGAATGGGGATGATCGGTGTTGGGATGGAGGGAGAAGAGCACAGGAGGGGGGATGTGGGCAGGAACTGGGAACAAAAGTGAAAGAAGAATTATTTTGCTTAAAAATGATACTGTTGTGAGTATTCACAATGTTGAGCATGACTTTGTGTATTTTGGTTTTGTGCAAACCAGCATTTGTTAGTGTCACACCAATGCCAAGATGATTTTGTCCAGCTCTATCAGATCATTTCTGAAATATGGAACATATTCTTTTGCTGTACCTATATTGCTCAAGGGGACCTGGATTGACAAGCCTTTAGGGCAGGACCAAGCAGAACCTGTGTCCCTGCAAAAGGCATCAGCTACTCTTTACAATATTATTGCTTATTCAGTAAATAAATACTGAATTAACAAATGATAAAACTTTGCCCTCCTATAGCGCCTCCTGAGGATCCCAACGTCACCACTTTACAAACATTCACGTCTTAATCCTCATAATGTCCATGTTCAAATAATTAGGTAAAGTAAAGAGAGGTTTAGTAACTTGCCTGACAAAACAGGACTGTGGAAGAGATGGACAGAATTCAGATTTCTCATTTCCTACTCATTTGTATCAACCCATAGACCATGTTTCTTCTTGACAACTGCATATGTAGTTCTTTAGTTATTCCTCATTGTAAGTGTCTGGGCTACAGACTCAGATCTAGAGTTAATTTCCCTCTTTCTTTCTCCCTCGTTCCTCCCAAGCCCCCTCTCCTCCTGCCAACAAGCAAGTATAAAACAATGTAAGCTGTACCTCTGATTTGAGAACTCACACAGAGCTGCTGTATCATGAGTCCAGTAAAGCAACGCGAACTAGAGCTCAGTTTCCTGATAGCCTTATATTAGTTCCGTATTGTTCACATACTATGACTTCCTGTGGGTTACACTGATCAAAATACAGAAAATGCCTCGAGCATTTAAAAACTGCAAGAAAAGATCACCCTGGCCTTTGCAAAGCCGCTAGCAGCATCTTGCCAGTCTCAGAGGGTGAGGCTCCTGTTCTGTTACGGCCTCTGCGCCGTCTGTCTGCAGCACTTTAAAGTAGCAACAAGCAAAAACTTCAGCCTTTGCAAAGACATCAGCTGCATTTTCCCATTTCCAGACATTTTCTTCTCTCCCCCATCACCATGATTTAGTGCTGTTTTTCAGTCTCACTGCTGAGTTAAACTTATGGGACTGTGCAGTTGTAGCAGGGAATGGGGCTCCTGAGAACTCTGAATGGACAACAGCTGTAAACAGCACAAAGCAAAATAAAACGTGTTCTCTTTTGCAGCTTTAACAACTCTTATCTCTTCTCCGCATGGGAGTAAGTGCAGCATGTTAATTGAGAGGCCTCGTTCCAGCATATGTATTTCTGCCCTCGGCCAAAAGAAAACCCGAGAGCAGGGTCAGCATGCTATCCACAAAAGCCCAGGAAAGCTTTGCCATAATTTTGCCAGTGATGTAAGAGGCTGGAGCGTGACCAGAACTTATTTCCAGAAACCCAGTGGAGGTTATTTGGGTTTTTTTCACTTGCCTGGCTTCTGCACCCTCTGAGGACTCCTGCAAGGTGCAGAGTGACCGCATCCGTCACTGAAGACATTGGGTTGTTGACGGAATTCAGCACTTTGCAAGATTGGGCCCATGGGTTCGAGCAAATTCACGGGGGGGGGGGGGAGGGGGGTTCTTCTCCTGGCTTCACACATGGATGCTATTGAAATTTATCAGGTAACAGTAGATATATGGTATGGCTGGGGTGGAACACATGACCTTTGGCTCCAATTAGAGAGGCCTCTGGTACATCAACTGAAGCCTTCTTTTAAAAACACGCAGGAACTACAGAGTAAGTTCCTTACCCGTGAGCAGCTCTGACTTTCCATCCACAGGAGTGTGGCAATACAGGGGCATGCCAGCCAGCGCACTGCATGCTACCGGAGACCTTGTTAGCACATGCTCCCTCCCTACAAGCAGTCACTGATAAATCCCATGCTGGATTGCTGTGCATCCCTGGATCACACCCTGCAGGAAGACTAATGATGCAGTAAATAGAACAAATTGCTGATGACACAGCCATAAAATTCCCTTCCACTGAAATATCCCAGAAACATAGATTTAGTTCTGTGGTAAGCAGGGGCCTAGGAGTGAGCTGATCTTGTACGTTAAGCCACTCAGCCACCTATCTGCATTACTATTGCTTTAGTAAAGGTGATGAATGTTATTGCTCATGAAAGTTCTGGACAATGGCTCTGGCCAGTCATGCTAAGCATAGACAAGCCCAGTGCGAGTTTCTTGGACACAAATCAGCGGATGCAGCTCAGTCCTGACCTCCAACTCCCCCTGCTATTGCAGTACTGGCTCCAGACAGGGTTCTGCTGAAGCACCACATTCCTGACTCAATTCACCCCTTGCTATGCCACTGCTGGGCCACACACACAGCAAGGCCAGTGAACTTGACACCTGTCCTGCCTCCCTATCTGCTGTTCCAGACTGGAGTGTCTCCTAATTGTCAGTGGTGCCCAGTTGCACGTGGTTTCATGACATGTACAGTCACTCGGGATCTCTCTCTCACATGGGTCCTTCAAGGCTAAAATTTGAGACCAGATATAAAAAGTATTAGACCAGTTCTTAGACAGAATCCTTGCTGAATTCTGGGGATGCTGCCAGAAAGCTCGGGACAGCCATTTATCTTTGCAAAGCCCACATGGCATATAACCTTCTCTGAGAATGCAAATAATAAAAAGAGAAAGCACAGGAACCTTTTCATGCTACATAAAGCCTATTCCAACTGATCATGTCTTGTTACACTGTGTAACATTTCAACATGCCCAGAATATAACGGGGCACCAATAGACGCCAGGAATCCTGAGGTGAAGGATTAAAGAGGCACCAGCACCTCCTGGGAAACTTTAAAAAATATCCTTTGAAGTAAGAGTTCTGCTAACATATCACACATTTCCCATCTCTCTTCCTCTTCCCTTCATTCATTATGACTCTGGGTATTTGCATGAAAACAGGGGCTGTGTGTCTTCAGTACAGCTTGCCTGCACCTGCTGCTTAATCTTATACCTGTTGTCAGGTTCCTCTGGCTCTGACATCATCAAGGCTTGATGCAAAGGCAATTCTGACGTTGCTGAAGATTATGACAGCAAATGGGGGAGCCAGCAGCAGAGGCAGAGAGAAACATGAAACCAACAAAATCCCATTGTCCCTCAGAATAAAGAACAAGTGAGGGGGAGTGCAGCACAGTTCCAGATGGGCCTGATCCAGGTAGAGATTCTGAGCTCCTCAAATTTCAGGGTTCTTTCATTCTGACTCTGCTCACTGTAAAGATAAGCAGTTTCCACACAATATAGGACTGGGATTTTAAAGGGAGCTGATAGAGGTTACATATCCAATGCCCATTGAGTTCAGACTATCTGGGTTTGGATTCTCCCCATCTGCTAACACACACACACACTCTCTCTCTCTCTCTCTCTCTCACCTTGGAAGTTCAGGGCTCGACAACCAAAGTTTATCTTTCATGCCCACCGCTCAGCATGATGGGGCTTTATTTTGTGCAATGCTGTTAACACACATGCATTCAGCATCCCAAAGCCTGACAGCTACACTAAGCCAGACAGCAGACAGTATATGGTGCGAGGCAGACACAACAGGGCTCCAAGAACACTGTATGGGATGACTATAGAAAAGCAGCTGGCCATGAGGCCACCTATTACACATCTCACAGGAGACATGAGACATTGATACCGAGTTGTCAGACTCTTTCAGTTGCTGCAAGACCTGGTAATCTCCTTCCCTCTCCATCTGTTGCATCCCTGCATTATTCAGGAGGGTTGGGGTTTTTTTAAGTACATAATAATTTAAGTATTATTATTGTTCCA